GCTTTTTGAAGTTGCTGATTATTTGATGCCACCCGTCTACCTTTACTTTTTTTCAGCTTACTTCAAAGTTAACAAGAGAGAAAAAAAATAGCTCTACATACCTACCTTAGAGTACAATGAGAATTTGAAAGTGTTTTTTGGTCAGGTCTGGAAGGCAAAGTGAAAATTACTTTAATAAGTGTGTAATACACTTTGTTAGCTTTGACGCTCTTAGTTTCTTCACTTTATTTCTTTCATGTGGCCGTGTTAATTGTACGGAATGAGCAGATTTGTCTCTGCTGAAACTGAACACCTCACAACTAATACTGCAGTATCAGTTTCATTAAACCTGCTAATTGCAAATTAATATATAATAAATTACAAGAACGGCTGCGGCCGACGCTCAGACGGCTTTTCCGTTATTGATAATAAGTCGACGTGCTTCGGTTTCCCAACTGGTAGTTAAGCTRCTAACTTGCTTTATCCTCGTTAAATGTTTATTTCCAAAAGAACAAATCGGTTGCAAATTATTTTTTGCCACCAAAAATCACTACAGCAGCGGGAAATCCAGCAGGCCACTTTATAGAAGAGCGGGATTATTTAAATATTTCCTTCTAATGGATTTGGAAGATGACCTAAAATCTGAGTAACAGCTATTTCAGTAGGAGTAATCCAGTCATCCTCAAAATAAATAAACACCCATGCGAGGCAAAACTGAATGAGGGAAATGGAGTGAATAAAATGAGCTAGGGCAAAAAGACACAGAGGATCACGAATAAAGCTCAGTGTGGGATTGATGAGARGGAATGGGGGATTTTGACAATGTGATTAAGTAATGGCTTCAAAATATGGAAGCAAGGGTAAAAGGGGGGAATAATTTACTGCAGTGTAAAAGTGCTGGATGTCAGTAAAGGGTGGAATTACATTTTATTATCATGAATAAGGAAGAAAACAAACAAACCGTGGCTGCCGAGGCAAAGACCTAAAACCAGATCAGTTAGGAAATAGTTCAAATTTTATTTTCCTGTCATCTTGTAAATGTGTGGCTAATTCAATTAAAGTTAAAGTGTTAGGAAAACAGCAACGCAGCACGATGGGTTTTATTAAACGACAAAGGTGTTTTCCTGATGCTTGGCTGAGGAGCTCCACGATCAGACAAAGGGAGACGAGCTTTATGTTATGATTTTAGGAGGTTTAAAACCCAGGACTTCAGACTGTCGCAGAGATGCTCAAAACACATTTCTACTTTAATTTTTAAATAAAACAGGACGCTGAGGCAAGGAGAAGTGGACGTGGCATGAGCACAACAATGAGCCGAGGGGCTAAAAGGGCTGGGGCTKATGAGTGGAGTGGCTGCAGCTGTGACAGGTGAAACAGAAAACAGGTGTAGTTGGGCGTGTCAGACTGACTGGGAAAGTACTAGCTGGGAAAACGTGTCTGGTTAGAGGAACACATGAGGAATAATCACCTGAAAATAGAAAGGACAGAGGAACCACAAAAAATAAAACATGGTACCCCCAAAGGAAGAAACTTAATGATAAACACAAAAGGCACTGTACCGAGGCACATACTGTAGGTACTCATAGGTACTCTGAAACGGGAGACATAGGTACTGAGGATTATATGTACTAGAGATCATAGGTACTAGGGATTATAGGTACTAGGGATTATAGGTACTGAGGATCATAGGTACTAGGGATCATAGGTACTAGGGATCATAGGTACTAGGGATCATAGGTACTAG